TGCCTACCTTGAAAGTCTCCTGTCTGGCCACATCCACCCACCTCAAGCATTATGCTCCACCCAATAATCCTGAGAAATTTGTTTAGCTTTCTTAGCCCGTTTCTTCAACTACAGAATGGGATTAATAATAGTACTTACTTTCAGGATGGTTATGGGAAGAAATAAGTTAATACAAATTAAATTCTTAGAATAGTACGTAATGGATATGGTAAATGGCCAAAAGTCTTAACCTATTATCACCATTTCTGAACTTGCTGTTCCTTCTACCTAGAACAGTCTTATCTCTGCCTCCTCCCTGACTCCCCAGATCTCTTCTTTTCCTGGCTTATGTCTGTTCTTCTCCTGAGGGCTAGGCTTAACCAACTTCTTCTCCAAAGAAGCCTTTCCTGACCTTCCAGTGCTGGGTTAGGCATCATTTTTCTGTGCTCTCCTGGTACCTGTCCCTGTCACAACACTTTTCACACTGCCTGTTTCCTTGCCTATCTTTCCCACTAGGCTATATGAACCCAAATCCCTAAGCGTAGTACCAGGTCTGACAGATGCTTACTAATTGTTCAGCGAATGAAAAACTTTCCAAAAATGAGGTATCCAATGAAAGACAGTCTCAACAAGTAACCAATTCAAATATCAGGCAGGTAGCTGGTCTAAATGACTATAAGGTCCCTCAACTACAAGATTCTATCCAATAAATTCAACACATTGACCTCATGGGTCACATTTGTTTTAACTTTAATACGTAGGCAATGTTTGGGCCATCAGATTTTTAAGGAGAGTGTGACATGACCAGACACATGATCATGTGTTTGTTACCCTATTACCCATCTCTGAGACACCACCTCTCCCAACCCCCAGTTGTTATCAGGACAAAATTCCAACCATCTTCATAAACATAAAAAGCCCACTCCCCTAAATACACCAACACAGAAGACGGTCAAAAGGACATTTTGACACGCTATATGCAGCATCTAACTTCATCTTAACCAACTGCAAGCAGTGAGGATCCATAAACATCCTCTAAGAACCCAAAAGCTAATCCCTCCTGTGTGTCTTTATGGAAAGAGGGGGACGAAAGAGGGAACATTTCATAAAGGTGATCTACTTAATCATCCTGAGTAGTTTTGATCCAAGCTGCTGCCACTGCACTGTTATTCCTGATAACTGCAGCCCCATATCCCCAAACCCTAGACTGTCAGAAAGGCAGCTGCAAACGAGGTGAGGGTGGGAAGTTATCTAGGTTCTATTTTAAGGGTGTAATAGCTTGGTGTGGTGGCTTACGCCTGTAATCCCAGCACTTTGGAAGGCCAAGACAGGGGGATCACCTGAGGTTCAGGAGTTCGAAGCCAGCCTAGCTAACATGGTAAAACCCCATCTCTATTAAAAATACAAAAATTACCCAGGCGTGGTGGTGCAAGCCTGTAGTTCCAGCAGCTCGGGAGGCTGAGGCAAGAGAATCCCTTGAACCCAGCAGGTTGAGGTTGCAGGGAGCCAAGATCGTGCCACCGCAATCCAGCCTGGGCGACGGAGTGAGACTCCGTCTCCAAAAACACAGGGTATAAGGTCTCTTCTGCAGATACTGAGGGAGCCAGCAGAGATTCAAAACAGGCTTCGGTGATAAGCAAGCTCAACCGAAGGGGGAGAGAAGTAGGTCTTACTCAGAGATACAACCAGGCCTGGGTTCCTGCTCTGGAGCTGCATGCCACATCTCTGCTACAGGCGAGGACTAATATTTTGCATTTACAATGCACGCTGAGACTAAAGAAGACATTAAGTGTGCCAGCTTTGCAGTCACAAAAGGACAAATATTGCATGATTCCACTTACATGAGGTTCCTAGAGTAGTCAAATTCATAGAAAGTAGAATGATAGTTTTCAGGAGGCTGGAGGGAGGAGGGAATGGGGAGTTAGTTTAATGGGTACAGAATTTCAGCTGGGGAAGATAATGGACAGTGATGATGGTTGCATAACCATGTGAATGTACTTAATGTCACATAACGTACACTTTGAAATGGTTAAATGGTTAATTTTATGTTATATATATTTTACCACAATTTTTTTTTAAAAAAGCATGCCAGCTTTAAGGTTATACTGTCTGCAGTCTGAATACTGCCTTGGCCACTTACCAGTTACATGACCCTGAGGCAGGTAATGTAACCTCTCTAAGCCTGTTTCTTCTATAAAACAGGGATAATAATAGTACTTAATTCACAGGTTGCTCTGAAAATTAAGTAATATAGTCCATAAAGTCCTCAGTCCATTGGCCGGTGGCACACGTTAAGTACTTAATTAATTTAGCTATTACTACTGCCACTATAAAGCACTTTCAAAGCCATTTTTTTAATAATCCCCACAACAATCCTATGAGAGTTTACACATAAGGAAACTGAGGCTCAGAGAGCCACAATGAGTGACTCAGTTTATGATGCCAGATCAAATCCTCTGCTCCAGAGAGGTGTCTTGTCCTCACTACTTACTCATTCTGTCATCTAAGGCAAGAGCTATGCTATGTCTCCATTCCCTCACAGTAAGAGACATAAACCAAGCTCTACAAACTCCCTCACAGAAATGGATTAGAAATTAAACCACATAGGCCGGGCGCGGTGGCTCAAGCCTGTAATCCCAGCACTTTGGGAGGCCGAGACGGGCGGATCACGAGGTCAGCAGATCGAGACCATCCTGGCTAACACGGTGAAACCCCGTCTCTACTAAAAAAATACAAAAAACTAGCTGGACGAGGTGGCGGGCGCCTGTAGTCCCAGCTACTCGGGAGGCTGAGGCAGGAGAATGGCGGGAACCCGGGAGGCGGAGCTTGCAGTGAGCTGAGATCCGGCCACTGCACTCCAGCCTGGGCGACAGAGCGAGACTCCGTCTCAAAAAAAAAAAAAAAAAAAAAAAAAGAAATTAAACCACATAATGGTTATGGAGGAGTATATAAGCCATAAACACATAAAACCGAAGTGGTGACTTGTGAGAACTAGTACACCTGTGCTTAAACCTGGCCTCCTCTTAATACTAACCATGAGGCACAGAAAGTGGTGGGGACTATAAAACTTCCTTGGGATTTCCACTTACTCAGGATTCCTGATCTTAAGACCTGAATAAGTGGTTTCGTGCCCTTTTTAAGAAGTGGCTGGCTCAAGCCTGTAATCCCAGCACTTTAGGAGGCAGAGACGAGCGGATCACGAGGTCAGGAGATCGAGACCATCCTGGCTAACACGGTGAAACCCCGTCTCTACTAAAAAAAAAAAAAAAAAGAAAAAAAGATACAAGAAGTGGCAAGGTATGGGAGAAATAAAAATATTACTGGATTAGGAGGAAGAAGACTGGGAATTTCAGTTCTCGCTCTGACAAGGCAGTCTGAATTCAGACAACTTACTTCCCCTTTCCAAGGTTCAGTTAGCAGGGAAGCAGGGAAAGGCAGGTATGGAAAAAGGTGGACCAGATGGTCGGTAGGACCCCTTTCAACTCCTACACAGGACTCCTAAATCCAGAATCCTGGCCAGGCACCACAGACCTACCAGACACCAAAGAACTAATGTGAACATCAAGAGACTCAAGACCTGGCCCAGAAACTCCCTTGCCTGATTTTTAGACAATCCCTCAAACCGGATCACATTGAAAAACTGGAACATTTGCCAAAGTTAATTTTAGTTCACTTTAACCACTCTGGGCCTTATCTGAAAATAGGAGAAATATTTATTTGAAAGCAGATGACTTGAGCGATTCCCCCTAACCCCCACCAAACTAGGATTGATAAATCTAAAGATAGAGAACCTGCAAGGTCTGGGAGGAGGAACACGCCACACAAAAACTAAAGGGTGGATCCCACCGTTTACAGTCTCAAAGCTTCCTTGAGCCAAAACCCCCGGGAATTTGAGTTGTGTTTGAGTCCTGGAGTCTGCATCCATCAACTTCTAATTGTCGCAATACCAGCAAGGAATTCATCCAAACCTTTTCCTTTGGAGCTATGGTAACCCCAGAATGGAATTTCATCCATAGTATAGCGGACAACGGCCCAGAAGTCAGGGAAAACCCAGAGTTATGTCCCTAATTAAATGATGTGACCCAAGGCTAGGTAAAAATGCCCTCTGCACTAAGAGATGATATATGCTCACACCAGGAAATATTAATAAATAACAGGTACTGGCACCGCTCCTTTGCACTTCCGTGGCTACTGTGACTCGGAGAAAATTACTTGACCCCTCTGCGCCTTGATTTCTGCTTCTGTAAATGAGGATAAACCACAAGGCCGTTGTGAGCATTAAACGAAATAAGGCTTGGGAAGTTCCTGGGTGAAGTCTCATTAAATGCTCCCTGTTGGTGTTAACCACTTCTTTCACATATTAGTTCCCTCCCTGAATCCATGAACACCCCGCGAGGCGGGTTTCCCTTTCCCCCCATGTCACCGAGAGGCAAACTAAGGCTCGGCCGCCAAGGGGGCTGAGGAAAACGCGGATACGGCCCCAGTTCGAGGGCCCGTTGTTGTTTCTCTCCGAGCCCAAGGCATGCAAACAGCCCAGAAGAGGCGGGAGCCGAGACAGGACCAGCTCTGCGCGCCTCCGGGAGCCCGTAGACCCAGCCTGGGTAGGAGAGCCGGAAGCAGCCGCGGCCGGGCCCGCCCGAGGCCTCCCCGGAGCAGCCTCCGTTCCCCTCCCTCCGCCCCTCGTCGGGCGGGGCGGGGCACGAGCACAAAAGACTCCAACTTCCGAGCGGGCGCGGGCCCACCCAGCCAACTACTGGCCCAGACTTGGCCCGCGGGAAAGGAGCAGGCAGGGAACGCCAGGGCGGCCGGGAGCGGGACCGGGCGCTAAGGGCTGGGGCCGGCGACCCGGGGCGGCGGGTCCCAGTGGGAGAAAGGAGCGGCGGAGGGGGCCTAGAGTTACTCGGGCTCTCGGGAACTCCCCGAAGGGCAGAAATAAGAGTTTCTAAATATAGGCAGCGGCCTGCCTGAAGAAGTGAGTGAACGGAAAGGCACAAAGCACACACCCTCCCCGCACCCCTAAGGAGACGCCCGCAGCCCCCACTCACCCGCGCCGAGAGGTCTGGAGGAAGCCGCGCGGCTGGGAAGGAGGCGGTACTGTCGCACTCGGGGACGTAAGGGAGGGAGGAAAAGGGCAGCTGCGGCGGGAGGAGGCTGGGCACACGCGCGGGAGTCGTCGTCGTCGTCGTCGTCGTCGTCGCCGCCGCCGCCGCCTCCGCCGCCGCTACCGCCCCCTCAGCTTCTCTGGGTTCCGCTGCCCCGCGCCCGCGCCGCTTGCGCGCCCCGCCGCACTGACAGCGGCGCGAGCCCCGCAGCCGCGAGCCCTGCCCTCGGCCGGCACCACTGAGGCGCGCGGGGGTGGGGGCACCCGGAGCGGCTCCCCGCTGCTCAGCCCCGCCCGCCGCTCCGGCCCTGGTCCCGGGCTCTCCCCCTTCTCTCTGTCTCCCCGGAAGGACACGGTGACACGAGAACTAGGAGTCTGCAGCCCCGCCCAGAAACAGCCCGGCTTCTCAAGCGCATGGGCTCTCCCCACCCTCTCAGCCTGGCTTTGGAAAGGTCCAGAGCTTCGGCGGGGACAGGAGGAAGGCGGGGCCGGGGCGGGGCCTGAAAGGGAGGAGGGACTGAGACGCGGCTTGGGGAGGCGGGGCTGGGGCGGGAAGAGAGAGTCGCTTGCACAGGTTTGGAGCCGAAGTAGGGGCGGAGCTAAGAGGGTGATGAGGCCCTGGTAAGAGTGTCGCCGGACAGGCAGGGAAGGCCGTGCAGGCGATGGAGAGCTGGGAGCCCGGACAGTGCTTGAAAGGAGATGCTGTGGGCGGGGCTAAATGGAGAACCGCCCAGAGAGCGGAGCCACGGACGGAGGGAGGCGGGGCTGAAGAGAAGCCTAGAGTGGGAGGAAGGTAGAAGCGGGCCTGAAGGAGGCGGGCCCGGAAGCAGGGAGGGGAGGAGGGGCCCCAGGGGCGCCTATTCTGGGCGGGTGCCGGAAGGAGGCGTGCCCCAAGGAAGGACTGAGGGGTGGTGCTTGAGGTGGGCGGGGCCTGGAGATGGCGTTGAAACCTGCAGGCTGCGGGCGGTGCAGGAGGGATCCGGAAGAGACGAGACAGGAAGAAACTCCTGGTCCTTTCGCTTTCAAGGGACGTGGCACTTAGGGTGAGGGTCGCTCTTCGCTGCCTAATCTGGGACTGGGCGAAGAGGCCGCGCTGAGGGTGATGTCCGAAAAAGATGCAGGAGATGTTTTATAACTTGATCCAGGTGCTAGTCCTCCCTCCTACACATTTCTCCTGTCGGGATCTCTCACTTGAATCGTGTTCCAGCCTCCAGTGAACCAGTCTTCCTAACGAGAGCACAAGAGGCCCGTTGTCCTTCATTCTTCAGCTATGGACTTCCCTGAAAGTTGAGAACTGACCATATTCTCGATGCCTGCTCTGACCTGTGATTTCACGACTCACATCGCTTCCCCAGAACCTGCTTAACAGACGGGATTCCTGAGAATGGAGCAGAATTTGAATTCAGAGTCCTGGCTTTGCCATACCAGCAGTTATAATTGCCCTTCTGTTGTTTGATGACTCCCTGCCCTGCTTCAAAAGGAAGAGAAATCAAATTAAAGAGTTGACGACCCTGAGGGCAAGGCCTCGGACGTTATTCCCTAAACTCTGCTTTAATATCACCTCCTCAAAAGAAATCTTCCCTGAACACCTTGTCTCGAGATGTTCTCTAGTTTATCTTCTTGTTCTGTCATTTATTTGTCTGTTCATTGTGTGTTTTTTTGAGATGGAGTCTCGCTCTGTCGCCTAGGCTGGAGTGCAGTGGCACGATCTCGGCTCTCTGCAACCTCTGCCTCCTGGGTTCAAAGCGATTCTTGTGCCTCAGCCTCCCAAGTAGCTGGAATACAGGCGTGTACCACCATGCCCGGCTAATTTTTGTATTTTTAGTGGATACGGGTTGTCACCAAATTGGCCAAGCTGGGCCCTAACTCCTGACCTCAGGGGATCCGCCTTGGCCTCCCAAAGTGCTGAGATTACAGGCGTGAGCCACCTCACACCCTGCCATGTTTGTACAGTTTTTGAGACACGGTCTTATTCTGTTGCCCAGGCTGGAGTGCAGTGGCATGATCAAGACTCACTGCAGCCTCGACCTCCCAAACTCAATCCTCCCACCTCAGCCTCCCTAGTAGCTGGAACTACAGGCATGTGCTATCACTCTGGGCTGTTCACTATATTGTCCAAGCTGGTCTTGAACTCCTGAGCTGAAGTGATCCTCCTGCCTTGGCCTTACAGGCGTGAGCCTCCACATCCAGCAGAAGGGAGACATTTCTAAGGAAATATGCTGGCAACACTAGCTAACACTTAGTGAGAATTTACTAACTGCCATGCAGTCTGCTAAGTGCTTTTCAAGCATATTTAATTCCCACAACACCCCTATGTGGTAGGTACTGTTCTTACCCCATTGTACAGCTGAGGAAACTGTGGCACAAAGAGGTTAACTTTCCCAAGGTCACACAGCTGATGATGGAGTCCAACTTTGGGTCCTACATGCTGAATTACTATATTATCCTACTCCCTAATTATTAAGGACCTAGGGTCGTTAGTCCAATAAAGGTGAAGAATGAAGATGCCACATTCTTTTGCTTTCTGGATAGTATGGCATAGGGTATGATGCCTACCTAGAGTTGCAGCAGATTTTTTTTTTATTTTTAGCCATCATGAGGGAAGCCAGCCAGAAGACAAAACCATCACACGGAGGAGGGCAAGACAGAAAACATTACAGAAAAAAATGAACCAGAGACTGGTGCAGCCATTCCTGAAGCTTGACCCACCTCTGGACCTTAACATGAACAAATATATTTTTATAGTAATTTGAGTTGTGATTTTTATAACCTGCAGCCATAATTTCCTAACTAAAACAGATGAGTACAGTTCAACAGGTGGAGACAATAAATGATAAAGCGTCAAGATTGGAAGAATATAATGTAATTTGGTTTGACTGCATTTTTAATCCCCTTAGTAATCCTACAAGGTTAGTTCTGTTTTTTTCCCCCATTTCACAGATGAGGAAATGTGATATGGCCAATGTAGGGCTACACAGGGGGCTGAAGCAGGAGAATTGCTTGAACCCGGGAGGCGGAGGTTGCAGCGAGCCAAGATCACACCACTTCACTCCAGCCTCAGTAACAGAACGAGACTCTGCCTCAAAAACAAAACAAAACAAAAGTTATCCTGCTTTCTCTTGGAATCCATAAAATCATGAACTATTTATAATTGGAAAGTTCCTCCAAGACACCTCATCTAGGGGTTTTCAAACCTCTCAAGCTGTCCACCTTTCTTACGCAAGACCTTTCACAGAAAGGCAAGGCATGAAACAGATGAGGCAGAGGAGGTGGCTTTGCTTGAAATAGGGGAGAGGAACCCAGAGTCCTTCCTGCTAGACCTCCCCACCCCAGCCACAGGCCACCCTTCTTAAGCAGTGATCCCTCCACAAAATCCCAGGGTGTTACAGAATACAGTTTAAGAATCACCATTCTTTCCCAGGTCCTGTTTTACAGATAGGGAAATGGAGGCTCAGAAAGGCATAGACATTTACTTAATGGTTCTGGAGGAAGTCAGTGGCAGGAAGGGATACCTGCCTCACAGGACAATTCACTTTCCAGTGGGAATAGCACTATCTCCTTCCTGCTCTGCGTTTGAGGATAAACCCTGTCTTGGCTCCTCCCTGACTGGGGTGAGAAGTAGCCCTCCTGGAATTGCCTCAAAGCCCCTGGTTATCACCAGTGTTCTCGGTTGCAAATTACGAAACATAAATACACTCAGGCTAACAGATGCAGCAAATGAATTTATCAGGAAGGAATGGGGAGCTCCCAGAACTGATGGGAGGGCTGGAGAACCAGGCCCAGAAAATGCACAGAAGTGGTGAGCGCAGAGGCTTCAATGTTGCCGGGACTCTCCTCCCAGTCCTTTATCTCTTCTCGCCTCTGTATGTGAGTTTTTCTCCTCAAGGCTAGGCACCTGGCTGCAGCAGCACTCACCACTCACAACTCTCACCTGCTCCACCGGAGAGAGACTGAGGGTTTCTGCTTCTGGTATGAAGGACAAAATTTTAGGGAAAAACTTTGGTTGGTCCAACATGGGTAAGACCCCGTCCCTGTACCAATCATCTATGGCTGGAAAACCAGGTGCTGTGACTGGCCCAACTTAAGCCAGGTGCCACTCTCTAACCAATCACTGTGAATAGGGAAGTGGGATGTACAGGGAGATGGCAGCCCCATCGGAACCGTATGGTCAGAGAAAGATGCATTTCCCAAAAGATGGAGTTCATGGTCTGGGGCAGATTGAATAATAGATTTTTACTACACCCGCCCCAGAGTCACCCCCAACCAATACATTACTTACTGCCCAACTCTCATCATTCCTTCTCTGCTCAAAACCCTTCAATGGGCTGGGCACAGTGGCTCATGCCTGTAATCCCAGCACTTTGGGAGGCCGAGGTGGGGGGATTACTTGAGATCAGGAGTTCAAGACCAGCCTGAGCAACATGGTGAAACCCCATCTCTACTAAAAATATAAAAATTAACCAGGCGTGGTGAAGGGCACCTGTAATCCCAGCTACTCAGGAGGCTGAGGTGGAATAATCACTTGAACCTGGGAGGTGGAGGGTGCAGTGAGCAGAGATCATGCCACTGCATTCCAGCCTGAGAGACAGAGACTCTGTCTCAAAAACAGAAAAACAAAACAAAAAAACTTTCAATGGCCTCCCACTGCCATGTCATCGGCATGGATCAAAAACTCAAATGTCATGCCAGGCACAGTGGCTCATGCCTGAAATCCCAGAATTCTGGGAGGCTGAGGCAGGAGGATTGAACCCTGGAGTTTGAGACCAGCTTGGGCAACGTAGTGAGACCCTGTCTCTACAAAAAAAAAAAAAAAAAAAAAAAAAAACTAGCCAGCATGGTAGCATGTGCCTGTACTTCCAGCTACTTGGGAGGCTGAGGCCAGAGGATCACTTGAGCCCAGGAGGCCAAGGCTACAGTGAGACATGCTCACACCACTGCACTCCAGCCTAGGCAACAGAGTGAGACCCTTCTCAAAACAAATAAACAACAACAATAGCAAACCCTCAAGTGTCTACAGGGGCTAGAAAGATTAGGCATGAGACAACAGGGAGTGGAGAGCATTGTCATGAACTGGAGGATGTGTGTTGCATACTGTTCCTAGAATGCAGGTGCTGAGATGTAGGATTCTTCAAGAGAGCCCCCAAATCTGGATTTTCATATAAAATCTCCCAATTTCTAAATGTTGGCTCAACTATTTTTAAAAACCTTGTGCAAGCCAAATGAATTATGTCTGCAGGCCAATTACTGTAGGCTGTGGTCTAAAAATGGGCAATCTCTGACCTTTGTAGGATAAAGCCTATAATCACACACCCACCTTTGGGGTCTATTATCTATTACTACATAAGAAATCACCCCAAAAATGTAGTGACTTAAAACAACAATGATTTGTTACTTCTCACAATTTTATGGAATGACCAGGTGGTTCTTCTGCTCCATGTGGTGTTGGCTGGGAAAAGTTTCCTCCTGTCTCCACCTCCACATGTTCTATTTCCTTTTCAAGCCCAAGTGCCAATGGCGCCTCCACCCTGAAGCCTGCCTCATCTCCTGTGCCACACACATTGCCACCAGCCAAGTCTAAATGAGATACCGTGCTCGCCAAGCTTTCTTGCTCTTTATGTATAAGTATTAGAGCATGCATCTAGCTCACCTAGAGAACGGAGGTCTACCTTGTCCATCTTTATATCCTTCTGGCACAGTCACACAGGAAAGCCCCATGAGTGCTGTCAGATTGGATTGAACTGAACTGACTCTTGGACATATTTAGTCCAACTTGCCCATTGTGCATATGGAGAAATGAAGTCTGGAGAGGGGAGTTCACACATCATATACACTGAAAGCTGCCCATCAAAAGAGTTGCAGAACCAGGATTACGGCCCTTGCATCTTGACTGCCAGTTGATGCAGGTTAAACTCTGTGTTTAATCCTTGTTGATATGGATGTCTGAGACTTGAATAGAAGACATTTCTCGTTTCAGATGCATCCATTAGCAGGTCTTAGCCAGGAGCCAGTCCCTTGTAAGTATATATTGCAAGTAATTGATGACATTGGAGCCAGAAATCGAATGAACCGGGCCCAGTTCAATCAACTTACTGGACAAACTCCTCAAGCACTCTAAGCCCCAATTTCCTCCTCTGTAAAGTGGGCATAAATTACATTTACCTTGAGGGTTGCTGTGAAAGCTAGAAATAATATATGTAGTGTCCCCTGACACACAGAAGGTGCTCAAGAAATAGTAAGCTCTTCTAATAATTGTTATTGATGACAAAGAGGATGAAAGAACAAGTGCTCTGACTTCTCAAAGGAGGGAGAATCATCCCTGAGGATTGTGTCTTGGAGAACATAAATCCATATTTTCTCTTTCCTGAACAAATTCCCTTTGGAAGGGCACAAAGGGAACAACTTCCCTTCTTAGGAAAGAAGGGAGGAAGGGAAGGAAGGATGGAAAACAAGAGGGAGGAAGAGTTGGCAGGTTATGACTATCTCTACCTCTCCCTGAGGCTTGCTCTGTTACACCCACCCCAAACTCTGGTCCATCCCATTTCCATGCTGAGATCAGGCCACACACAGAAGTGGTGGGGCCGGACCACCACTTTGAGCCATCCCTGGGAATCCCCAGGACACC